TACAAACTAAAAGCACATTGGATAGAAACTATTTGTCTTCATTCGGTTTTTAGGTATTGTGGATTGATGGTGAGAAACTTGTCAAACGACACAATCCAATTCATTGTCTAAGATGCAGTTTTTTTTGATTAATTTGTGCCAGCACATGACAACGCGATGAATAAATTGGAATATTTTTAAGTTGAATTTGGAACAGAGAGGGATATTTGCCAGGAAAATTGAGAGCAAACTCATCACTTTTCTTTACGAGGAACCCCATTAGAAACTCCACATTTTAGACCCTAACATCTATTTTCAATTCATTCTTTGCTTAAAAGACAGTATGGCCAAGAAATCCTGACATAAGAACATAAGAATTAGGAGCTGGAGTAGGCCATTCGGCCCCTCGAGCCTGCCCCGCCATTTGATAAGGCCATGGCTGATCTTCAGACCTAATTCTAATTACCTGCCCTATCCCCATATCCCCTAATCCCTCTATTTTTTAAAAATCTATCAGTCTCAGCCTTGAAGATTTTCAAGGACTGAGCACCTACAGCCTTCTGGGGTAGTGAATTCCATAAATTCACTACCTTCTGAGTGAAGAAATGTTTCCTCTATTCTAAAAGGCTGACCCTTAATTTTAAGACTGTGACCTCTGGTTATAGATTCTCCTACCAGGGGAAACAGTCCCTCAGTGTCTACTTTATCAGTCCTTTAAGAATCTTAATGAAATGACAAATATCAAGAGACGACACGCAGCAAGCTCATTCTTATAGCAACATAAGTGTACTTGGCAAGATCTCCCTTATCGACAATGCACAGTTGCTAACTATTTATGGCTGAGATTGCTATACATGGAATCAAGGCTGCCATTTGAATGAACATAACGTTGCCATTTAAATGACAGTGGTTTTGAATTGCATCAGGGTTCCAAGGTCTGTTGAGTTAAGTAGACGTTTCACTCCAGTGAAAAATATCTTGAAGAACCCCCAGTAAAAAAAATAATGTTCAAATAAATCCCCATTTACAAAATGTGATAGAAAAAGTTATAATTTATTCTTCACTTTATAAAATAAGTGAAACAATAAGTACTGAGGATTCATATGCAAGAAAAATAGGGTTAGGTGTGTAAGGAGTCATCCATTTGTTAAAATAAATCACTCGTTCACACAAAACGCAATGTGGAACTTTTTATTTTAAAATAAATAAAAGGTTTCAACAAACTGTCCCTTTGAGATCTCACTTATTAAGGCTATTACGCTCTCTACTTAGCTGTGAAACATTTGATTGTGGTGGAAGGCACTTGTTACACCAGGCAATAAATTTTGCAGGCTTCTGAACTTGTCTGGGACACTTGTGTTTCCCTGAGCAGTCACTAAAATGGCTTGGCCCCTATCGAACAGCCCTACATAGGGAGTACATTGCTCAGAGGCAGCCCCTGCTAACAAATGTACAGTCCTGCCCTGGGTCAAAGGACTAGCTGATGAGGTGAGAGTCAGCCCGTCAGTGAATCCACCGTCTCACAAGCCCACACATTTGGATGAAGTGTGGCCCTGCACCTCCTGCATGTTATTATTTTAATAATTGCAATTCAACTCTGGAAATACAGAATATGCGACAACAGATGAAAGTGAAAAACAAAGGAAGAACAATACAATCAACATTGTGTTTATTGAGCAGGAGTGTGAAGACATCATAGGCCTCAGATTTAAAATAATAATAATCCTTGCATTTGATATAGCGCTTTTCACATCTGCTAGACGTCTCAAAACGCTTCACAGAATATACTAAAAAGTGAATTGACTGTATATTTGTGGGTGAAGCATGGCAGCCATTTACACGCAGCAGTGTCCCACAAACAGACATGGATTGAAGGGACCAATTTATTATTGTTTTTTTTTCTTAAGGGATTATTATCAGGTCATGTTGAGTAAGGAAACTTGCCCAAGGTTTTGCCCTGCCGAAAATTGAACCCAGGTCTCTCGCTTGCGAGGCAAGTGCTCTAAACACTGAGCTACAGGACTCCACAATCTTAAATCCTTAAGTCTTACCCTCCATACCGTTGTCTTAAAATTTAGGTTTGTGCAGAATTTTAGAAGATATTTAAATTCAGTCTTGATTTGGATGAGGTTTGTTCCTGTACACTTTACGGATATTGCCTGTGAAGCACTTTGAGATGTTTCAGTAGGGCCAGATTAACCTTTTGTGGGCCTGACTCCAAAAAGATTTGTGGGCCCCCATCCTCATGTCTTTATTTATAAGTGAGGGTCCTGTGGCGGACTGTTTGCTCAAAAGGGCTTGGGATTGTGAAGTGAAATAACAGCGCTGACTAAGTAAAGTGCTTTGAGATCCGGCCTGTGTGACTATTTTACTCATACGTAATGTGGCCCACAGGCTGCAAGTTGGCCATTCCTGTCTTAGATTACAAGCTCAAACTTCTGACATGGGGCTTGAAACCCACAATCTTCTGACCCAGAGGCGAGAGAAGCGACAACTGCAACAGGCTGATGGAGTTCCAAAATAGCCTAACAGGCAGTCTTCCACCTCTGCTGTCAGATGAGCCACATCCTGCAAGAACTGCCCTGCCTGCTCACTGTTACAGTTTTGCTTTCCTGTCTCCAAAATAAACAGAGACGAGTGGCCCTGCTTTTGATGCAGTGCTGAAATAATCACCACAAGGTCCTACCTCTAGAGGTGGTTACAATAAGAAATTTCATTTGTAAAGTGCCTTTCACATCAGGAGGACGTCCCAAGGGCTTCATCCAACAACCACAACAACAACAACAACAAGATTCCATTTATAGAGTGCCTTTCACGTCGGGAGGACGTCCCAAGGCGCTGGACAGTTGGGTCAGGACTCGAGCAGGGGAGAAATGGTCAGGGTGAGGGCAGGGAAGGGAGGAAGCGAGGAGGGGGTAGAGAGTCGAGAGGGGAGCTGAAGGCACGGTCAAAGAGAAAGGTCTTGAGACCGGCTTTGAAGGAGGAAAGGGAGGAGGCAAGGCGAAGGCACTGGGGGGTGGCGTTCCAGAGCCTAGGGGCTGAGAGGCTGAAGGCCCGGCCACCGATGGTAGGGCGGTTGGGGCGGGGGATGTGGAGCAGACCGGAGCCAGAGGAACGGAGGGTACGGGCAGGTAAGTAGGTGGATAGTAGGTCAGAGAGGTAGGAAGGTGCAAGGCCGTGAATGGCCTTGTAGGTGAGGATGAGGATCTTGAATTCGATCCTCTGGGGGATGGGGAGCCAGTGGAGGCGAGCGAGGGTGGGAGTGATGTGGTCGCGAAGCCTGGTGCGGGACAGTACACGAGCTGCAGAGTTCTGAATGACCTGCAGCTTGTGGAGGGAGGTGCCGGGAAGGCCGGCGAGGAGAGAGTTCCCATAGTCCAGCCTTGAGGTGATAAAGGCGTGGACCAGAGTTTCAGCAGCGTGAGGGGTGAGGTAGTGCCATAGTCTGGCGATGTTCCGGAGGTGATGGAAGGCGGTGCCAGTTGTGGTGCGGATATGAGGAAGAAAGGACAGCTCAGGGTCGAACAGAACCCCGAGGTTCCTGACTGGCTTTGAGAGATGGAGAGTGCAGCCTTGGATGCTGATGCTGTCAGCGCCTGAGGTGCGGAGGCGCTGACGCGAGCCAATCAGGAGGGCCTCAGTTTTGCACACGTTGAGCTGAAGAAAGTTGTCTCTCGTCCAGGACTCGATGTCGGACAGGCAGGCAACCAGAGAGACAAGTATGACGTTGACTTGTTCAACCACTGTGAATGCATAAGTTCTAAATGGAATGACGTACGAATCTCAGTGGTTGTTTTCTTGGCACTTTCAGTACAGTTGTGAACTTTCCATCTGTCCTAATATAGAAAAAAACATAATTTGGCTTCTTGCGTCTCAGGAGTGATAGCTCTCACTTCTGAGTCAGAAAGTTTGTGGGTTTGAGACCCAAAACTCACATCAGGTACATAGTCACTCCTTTTCACAGTAAATCCTGTGAAGTGCGTTGAGACCTCTGATGTGTAGGGTGACACTCCAAAGCAATGCTGGGGGTTGTTAGAGACCTTAGAGAATAGTTTCAGAGAATAGTGATTCAGGTATGTGAGAAGTTAATTGGGATAGAAAACTTTACTTTCAGATACACCGAGACACCAGGACAATTCTCAGCGACCATAATTCTAAAATGTAGAATGTGCTTTCAATTTTATATTTAGCAAATCCTGTACCGTACCTGAAAGAATTTGAGGTCCAAAAATGTTCCAGCACCGATATAATTTATCTAGACCACATGCACAGCAATGCCCCACAAAATACAATGCTTTCTCTTTCAAAGTAAGTCAAACAACACGAACAGACAGGAAAATTGAACAAACTTTATTGAATCACTAAACCAGCGAACAGCGTCATTTCAACTCATTTTAAGAACTCATTTCAACTCATTTGTATAACCCCTGTAGTTTGCTTGTTTTTAGGTATTTATCCAGTACCTTTTTGAAAGCTAATATAGATTCTGCATCAACCACCGTTCTTGGTTGGACATTCCATATCCTAACTCTGTACTCTGCATGAAAATATTATTCTCATCGTCTCCCTACTTGCTCGTTCGCTTACTATCTTAAAGCCAGGGAGAACAGAAATCCCCCCCTCTGTAGAATACCTCTGATAAACATATATTCATTATACAAAATCAGAACTGATTACACTTGTTTTTTTTATCAGTGAGAGAGATTAAACTGTTCACTCACATTAGCCGAATTAGATCAAAATACATTTCACTAGGAACAAGGGATGTCCCCGCAGACAAGCCCCAATCCCACCCAAACTCTTCTAGGCTCCAAATTGTCAAAGGACGATATTGAGCTGAAGCCTGTCTTCAAGACCACCCGAGCAGGTCAGATGACCGGATGGCCTCTCCGGAAAGGTAAGCCTGCCCTGAGCCAAGTGACCAAATGATCAACTGAGCTCTGTGTTCCAGTATATCTGCTTCCTCTTTGTGAGGGCAGATCAAACTCATCAGATTGGAAGTTCTGCAATACCAACCCCAACCAACAGAGTGTTGAAGGCATAGCTGTTGCCAGGAGCTCAATCCTTCCTGGAACTGCCCCTAAATTATCAGAACTGATTACACTAGTATTACATTAATACACACCCTTGCCACTTTTTCTGAGAAGGACGCTGACACCTCATGGCTATTTACAGCAATGCACAAAGTAACACAACTTGAGACTCAAACATTGCAAAATTCACCTCATGGTGAAACAGTATATTAAACATGTTTTACTTAAGCAGGGCATATGTGTTTGCGTTGCATTAATCATTTTGTGTTCTGTATGCTGTGGGCTGTACGTTGACTGTGGAGTAAAGAACTGAATCTTCATATAATTGTTTATTTTTAACTTTGACCTTTAAGCTAGCGTATTCTGTCGTGTGGTCAGGCTGTGGAATTTGTATTTCATTATTTTTTCTTTTTGCAGGATCTTTGAAGATAATAGAGGCATAATTCTGTGCATCTTCACTGCAGGACACGTTCTCCTGTAACATAATGATCCATTAATTAAGTACTGTAGACTGAACTTTTACATTAATGTCAGAGTTCTCAGTAAAAACCTCCCTTATTTCCTTCAAGTTGAGCTAGCATCAGTGCAGACAGAAGTATGTGATCGAGTACTGCTGGAATTTAACCAACTAAAACTGTATAACTTGTCATTCAGAGCACTGTCTGGTGAGGTTCCCACTGCTTGCCGAGCTAGGACCTCCCTAGCTGTTAATGCTTTGTCTTGCAGGCTTAGCAGGAGCTAAATCGGAAAAATTTCTGCCACTCCCATGTCCTGCCAATGAGTCAGGCTTCCTATTTTTTTAATCAGCCAGTGTCCTTACATGCACTGTTATTAGAAGTAACAAGTCATTTTATTAGAATCAATGAGCAAATTTTGAAAATACTTGTTTTACCCATGAAGGTGTTAAAAAATATTACCATCGTTTGAAGGCAGTCTTCTGTGGTTCTTAAAAAAAAGTTATACATAGAAATGGCTTCAAAACCAAGGCTGTATTTAGGAACTGTTTGTGGGAAACTGCTTTCCGCAACCAACTGTCACATTTTGCCCACAAAGTACAGTCAATCCGTTTTACAGTCTATCCTGTGATGCACTTTGAGACATCTCAACAATATTATAAGGCACTATATCAAATGCAAGGATTATTATTATTGTTATTATGCTCTAAGATGCTACAAACATAGAGGAAATATAAACCCAAGAGGAATTTGTCCCCAATAATAGAAGTACACTGTAAACCAAAATTAATTTTTTTTCTAGAATATGCCATACAGACAGAAGTCCCACAGTGAAATATCAAGCTTATTTTAAACCTAAAGAGGAACTTTACAATGGTTCCTGACTCAAAGGCAAGAGTGCTACTTACTGAGCGAGGCTGATACTTGATCTGCCAATCACACACCAAAATAAATCAATTGCATTTTTGAATGAGTTGAAATTAGTTGTTCTAACCTTGTGCAGCTGCACCAGTGGTCAAACCACATTTAAAATATTGTGTACAATTGAATGTATACATAATAATTATGAATTAAATTCAGAAGGGTATCAAGGGTCATGGAGTAAAGGCAAGTAAACGGAGTTGAGGTACAGATCAGCCATGATCTAATAGAATGGCAGAATAGGCTCAAGGGGCTGCATGACCTACTCCTGTTCCTATGATCCTATCACATAGAACCAAGCTCTCGCTGTCAAAAACATGTCAAAAATGTCAAAACAATGCACTTACTTCTACAACTGACTCATTTCCCGATTGGCATATTTTTCGACCATGAATACAACATTCCTCACAGATCGATATATCTGTAAGAATGTTTTAGATATTTATAAATATTTTAGACAACATTTAGAATAGTGGTTTATTCAATACGAGGCAGTAATAACACGGATTCCAAATGTTCAGCACTGGTGGAAATTATACATCTATGACCTGTTTATATTTGCAGGCACTTTATTATCATAATTACATATTAAAATGATGTTATTTATTGAGATATTTTGTTAAGCTAGCAACTAGCTTAATTGTTAAGCTATTTGTATTTAAACTACATTGAAACATTTGCATATAAAGATATTTTCATTTTGCAGCTATGTTAAATTACTTACATATTATCTTTGTTACATTAATATGTTATATATGTGAAAAATTATGTTCAAATGATTCAGTTTGTAAAACAACAATATTTTTCCCATTAAAATGCTTTCTCCATAATTTCTTCTGAGATATTAAGGTAATTTGTGTACAAAACAATATTTCTGAGATGTTCAGCTAAATGTTAAATCGCATCAGATTGTAAGTCAACAACTTGGTATTGATTACCTTCATTCTTTCGTTTTACCCACTGATTCCTTATGAACCAGACACAAAGAGGCACGACGATGATGAGACTCAACAGGCTGAAGTGATTCTTAGATGAATCTGGAACTTGAATTGGATGGATTGTTAGCAATGTACCACAACAACTAATAATTTAAATGAACTTGCATACAATTCTTTTAAATAGCGATTTTCACACAATAGATCACATGCATCATCGTGTCATTTAATGGAATACCAAATATAATATTTGCATCACTTTAATGTTTTCACTCGTGAATTTTTAATCAAATATTTTGTTTTATCCTCTTCCAGTTTTGTCCTCGCCTCTTGTGAAGGCACTGAAAACACCGGGTGTGTTTGCAGGGGCACCAACCACAAATGGTTAGTAAAACTGCCTCATGTTAATGTTAAGGTTCTGTTAACTATTAATTATTGTCACTTTACAATCTTACTCGGCCAATCCATCCGGCAACTTGTAAAAGCAGTATAACACTTAATCTACATAGCAAATACTATAGGTTAGAGCTCCTGACACCTTTACTAATCTACGTTAGAGTGTTTCTATATTTCTCCTCTTCATCTCGCTTCTCATCTGCAGTGTTCACTGCAATTGACTAGTAAACATACCTTCAAAATTGTGGGAAAGACTATTACATTATAATGTAATAAAATGTTGTTAAAAGATGGTTGAGTTTTTGTTTACCTACCAAAATCAGTCATTGCACTTATGGTAAATCCTGTGAAGACTTTGAAATTTTCTTCTACGTTTTGAGAGATAATACTTTTAACAAGGCTAAGTCATGTAAAATATTCACTAGCTGCTTGTTTGTTTTTAAAGATACACTTTCCTGTGTAAATATAATATTCGTAAAATAAACACCAAGTAATATTAAATCGTTTTTTATATTTTTGTCAAGGAATCTTGAGATTAAGTCTGGTTTTGACAATACATAATGCGTAAGTATGAGAGTGAATGAGGAATTTTGTTCTAAACCTTAGGAATCAGTATTAAAATGCCTGAACTAAATTAACATTTGGTATGTTCATCCCCCCAAAAGGAAAATCATGATATATTTCATATTTGTGAAAACTTTCTATTTTTACCATTTGGCCACTGGTTTTTAAATTTCCCAATCCTTGTGTAGGATAATTTATATGTCAAATTCATCTGTATTGTAAGAAAATCGCAGTGTAAACAAAACAAAATTTACAATGAAAACAAGCACGAATTCTGAACTTTGTCAGTTACACTGAAGCCAACTTAATGCAGAAAACTGGCAAGAAATCCAATAAGGGCAATAGACTATGAAGCCCAAAGCAATAAGATTCAAGGAAAGCAAAATTATAGCAGTAAATCCACTGATTCTAAATTATTCAATTTCAAGAATATTACAGATTTAATAAGAGAGAACTAATCAGGGTTAGTCTTCTCCTATATTATATATTAATTATTCAATTTCTATTGATTTTAGAGAAAATTCAAACTTTTTATTAACTTTATCTAACTGAGTCTAACGTGAACTTTTTACCTTCGTAAACTAATCGGCATTGAAAAACTATTCAAATTAACCCTCATTTACTACCGAGACCAAGCAGCAATCATTTAAAAAATATCCAGAGTAACCCTCATTCATTTCCCCTCAGGTCTCTAAATTAGAATGTCTACCGAACCCTTTAACATTGAATTTACTGAAAATCAGAAAATACATTTGAATTAAATCAAAATTTTCCAGTCTCTGTGTGAGGGTAATTTATCTGCAAAAATCACTGTACATGTAAGAAAATCGCAGTGTAAAAACAAATGAAATTTACAAAGAAGATGAGCAAGGATTCTGAACTGTGTCAGTTACTTGAAGCCAACTTAATGCAGAACCTGGCTTTAAGAGGTCTCAATGCTGGCAGCACAATGAAGAGTATTAAAGTACAGCAGATCTTGTTTTTGATTTACAATAGTCATTGCTGGTTTCTAACATTAATAATAATAATAAATAATATAATAATCCAGACTTTCACCTTGGAAGAACGTCTCAAAGTGGTTCACAGGATTTTCTGTAAAATGTAGTAATGTAAACTGTGGATTTTGTAGGTGAACAAAATGTAATTAATCCTGGCAGTGGAGCTATTCAGGCAAAACCTTTTTTTTCAGAGCTGCCGAATATCCCTGCTATTTATACAACAACAATATAGTGCCCTTCACACTGGGTAGCGGCTCAGAGTGCTTAAATAATCTTTAACACAGAGAACCAGAATCCTTGTTAAAGATCATATGTAGACTGGCGCATTAGAAACCCAAAGCAGAATAGATACACATTGATTTTACAACTTCCTAAAAAATCTGGAAGTAACCAAAGTTTCTCTGAAAAAAAGAATGTGCACTATTACCTAGATGAATTGATCGGTTTAAACTGTTTTGGATTCTGGTTGGGAAAGCTTTAAATTAGCTGTACTCACCTAGTAAATGCAATTGCATTTTATTTTTCAATATGCTTTGTCCCTCTTTAAATATTTCAAAGCTGTATTCTCCGGCATCTGCAGCAATTGTGTGGATTAATCTGAGAGTGCCATTCTGAAAGACTTCTGCCCTGCCTTTAAAATCTCCATATGAGGAAATTGTATAATTTTTTAGCTTTGCAACACGTTTTGTCCCCTGTTTCCATTCAATTTCAGTGTATTTTTTTGAGCCTTGATCCCAAACATCTAACCAAGTTGGACTCCCCAGTTGACTGTAAACGTCCTTGTTGTTGTCACCGGCTTCTGTAAATCCTGCAACTTAAAGCGTAAAGTATCAAGAGAGAGTAAAATTGCATTAAACTCAATGGGTAACAAAGCTAAATAAGCAGGTTTTGTAGACAAGATACCATAAAAGGGCAATATTAAAAACCTGCTCGATCATATCCTTAACATTAGCGAAGGACAATAGATACACAATATAGAAACAGATGCTGTCTATTTATACTATACAAATATGCACTACAATTCCAAAAAAATTCTCATAAAACAATCTACCCAAGTTAATCAAGCTTTTGAATGAAATGCAGAATCTTTTAGATGTTTTACGGATATAATACATACACACACACACACAGAGGAAAGTGGATCCTACCTGCTTTGGAGGGGCTGATTGAATGCGTACAGAGAGAAATATGCATATAAAAGACACATCCAACAGATTTGCACCAAAGTAAAAATAGATACACGAAATACTTATAGCAATCGCCAATGCTACCCATTCAGTCACCTATACAAAACTCAAGTGCAATTCTCTGCACCTACACCAACCTCATTCAGTTATTGCTGATCCCAGATTTACTTTGTCCATTCTGAAAATATATAAAAGAATTCAGTTTTTAAAAAACAATGAATATATATATTTAAAATCAATGTTTCTTACCAAAGATAGCCAGAAGTACAAATAAGCTGAATTGTGGTACACAGATTTCGGAGGAAGCCATTCTGCCTAAATTTTAAGTGCCTGGGAGTAACTGACAAAAGAGTTTGAGAAACATCTATCTGAGCATAACTACCTCCCACCCATTCAGAGGGAGGAAGTTGAAGTGAGCATTGAGAGCAAGCACCAGATGTAGTATTCCGCAGTGGTGTCACAAGAGATCTCCAGGCAGGAGGGATGATATATGACAAGTAACTTTCCCAGTTGCAACAGGTCATCAAAGCATCCTTGTAGTAAAGAAAGAAGCTTGATACATACATGAGTGAGAAGGGAATAGAGGAGTATATGGAAAGGGGAATAGAGTTGATATGGAGGCTGGTGTGGAGTATAAGCACCAGCATTGACCAGTTAGGCCAAATGGATCAATCCTTCTATGTAACTCAATTCTATGTGGGTGCTAATATATAACCTGTCATGTATATAATATATAACCTATCATGTATATAATATATAACCTGTCATGTACGAACCAGGAAATTTATGGTACTTTTCCATCTAGGATCATCCTATCAATATTGAGTTTTGACTCACAGTTTTGAACATATTTATATGGAGGAACGAAACGGCCTTCTAACCTTTTTTTGGTTAGTCAGGTATTGAGATAGCGAAACTTTGTGGTTACCACATCACGGGAATTTGAAATCACAATATGACACTTTATTGCAATGCTGTGGTGTGCTGTGTTATCAGAGATATTGCCATTTGGATAAGACGTTAAACCACAGTCCCATTTACCTATTCAGGTTGATGTGAAAGAATCCATGGCACTACTCGTAAGGGGAAGGGAGTTTGGGCCAACAATATCCCAGGACCCTTCCTTTGTTTTTATTACCCATCTTAGAGCAATCTCTTATTATTATTTTTTATTATTGAAGTAAACCCCTGATAACTTGATGTGAACTTGTCATGACCGCTAAATATCCTTAATATGCTGTCAATATCTTGGCTGCATTTATTGATGTATTTATACATATGCCTTTAGTTTTTAAAAATCTATCAATCTCAGTTTTGAATATGTTCAATGACTGACCATCCACAGCTTCTGGGGTAGAGAATTCCATAACTTCACTACCCTCTGAGTGAAGAAATATTTTCTCAACTCTGTTCTAAAAGGCTGACCTTTAATCCTGGGACTATGACCCCTAGTTTTAGATTCTCCAACCAGGGGAAACAGTCTCACAATATCTACCCTGTCAAGACCCTTAAGAATCTTATGGGTTTCTATAATTGTTCTAATTGTTCTATATTCTATAGAATATAAGCTTAGTCTACTCAACCTCTCTTTCTAGGTCAACACCCCATCCCACGAACCAACCTAGTGAACCTACATTGGACCCCCTCCAAGGTGAGTTTATCCTTTCTTAGATAAGGAGACCAAAACTGCACACAATATTCTAGGTGCTGTCTTACCAAGGCCCTATACAATTCCAGCAAGACTCCCCTACTCTTGTATTCTAAACCCTTTGCAATAAACGCTAACATGCTATTAGCCTTCCTAATTGCTTGCTGTACCTGCATACTAACTTTCTGTGATTGGTGTACAAGGACACCTAAATCCCTCTGAATAGTAATACTATCTAGTCTCTCCTCTAGAAAATAAGCTGCTTTTCTGTGTTTTTCTACCTCGGT